TTTCCTGTTTAGGGGGGGGGGGTAAGAAAAGGAACGCGGGCGGGACTTTACTTTCGAGCTTGCCCTTGGTAAGATGTTTACCCTCTGCTCGGCGAGCGGGGGAAAACTGCGTTTATGAACAAAATAATAATAACGACCGGGGGGGGGCGGTTTGGAGACTCCCACATCCTCCGTTGAAAATAAAAAAACCCCCAGGATCTCCGCTCCCCCCCCCGCGCCCGTGGTTTAGCCAGAGCTCATCTTCGACCCCATACTGTTCGAGGGAATGTGATATTAACAAATGTTTGCCATCTCTCGTACAGCTGTAAGCAAAATAATTAACTAATTAAACTAATTAAATGTAATTACAATAACTCATTTTGGGCGTTTTGCAGCTGCTTCTCGCTCTCCCCCTCCCCCCCCTCCAATTTCTCTGGAAGATGAGGTCTGATGGCCCAGACACATTAGAGAGACCTTCTTCCACAAATATTTGGGGGAGGGGGGAGCGATAAATTATCTCATGGCTTTCACTTTCTCCATCTAGTTTTTTTTTTTTGAACGAAGCGAGATCACCGGGTTTTTTTTTTTGGGGGGGGGGGCTGTCGCTGGCCAAGGCTACAGTCCCAAGCGTGATTGCGGGCGAGTAACCCCCCTTTTAATTCAGTGAGACTTGCTTCTGAGTCGACAGGCCTAGGGGTGCCCCCGGGAGCCCTAGTTTCTGGGACGGATGGATTCTTAGTCAGATTCTCTTTGAAGGGCTCTTCTTCGGTAGAAAGCTCCCGGGGCTAGGATGGCAGCCGTTTCCTTGGAAGTAAAGATCTACAGACATTCGAGGCGCTGCTGCCGTATGCCTCGTTTCAGGATCGGGGCGTTTTGCTTAACTCCATGGGACGGGGGCATTCAATGTGTGGAAGTTGGAATTGTGGTGTATAATTTTTAAAGTATATATATCTATATCTATATATCTATGTAATTGGGGAGTTGCTGATCTAATGTATACCTCCCCCATCCTCTGTGTGTTTCCTCGGGAGTAAATCCAACCTGAATCGAGGTGAACCCTCAGCTGGACTCAGTCCCGTGTAAGGATATATATCTCGGAGCATGCTCGCGAGCACTGTTCCCTCTAAGCTGAGTTAGTGTGAGCTAGCTCACAGTTTTTTAGCCTCTGGCTCACACATTTTTGTCTTAGCTCAGGAAGGAGGGCTCCAGAGCCAATGAATTTGTGCAGTAGCCAAGTCGCTCGCTCACAATTTTAATGCCAGTAGCTCACAAAGTAGAAGTTTTGCTCACAATACTCCACAGCTTAAAGGGAACATTGCTCGCGAGTAGACGTGCCTGGATCGGAGGTTGTGTTGGATTCGCCCCCCCACCTCGATGAAGAGAGAGAAAGGTGGATTCTCTGTTGCAAATGCGCCTTGGTGTCCCTTTTGGCTTCGAATGGCGTTTCTGAAGGCGATTGGGCGCTCTCGGCAAGACAGACATGGCTGTTCTCTGTCTCTCTCTCTCTGCGCCTGCAGTTTAGGAGGGCGTCGCTTTCTCCGGTGCCCGCTATGTGGCTTTCCCCCGCTGGCGTGTTGTTTACACGCGAGGAAGCACATGGGATGCCGTCCAGGGAAAATACTCTTTAGCAGCAACGCGCCGGGCTCGGGGCCATTATATCTCTCCCCCCCCCCCCCACCCCCCGCCCGCACAGTGACTCTGTGTGGCCTTACTCGGGAGTAAGAGCTATTGTTTCAAACGCCGGAGCGGGACAAATTGCCCGGAGAGCTGAACAGACGTTCTGGGGGGGGAAGGAAGGCTATAAATATGCAGATGACTAACCTGCGACTTATTTCCGAGGAACTCTGTGTGTGTGTGTTTGTGTGTGAGCCTGAAGGCACGCCACCAGCAGGAAGCTTCTCTGGCGGATTCTTTGCGCCTTGACTCGGAGCGCAGCGACTTCCGAGAAAGCAAGCCCTGTAAGACCTCGACGCTCCTCTGCATTCTCGGGTGGGCATCCCGACAGAGCCCGTTGGACTTTCCGATCGAAACCAGTTAAAGGCAGTGTTCCCTCTAAGCTGAGTTAGTGTGAGCCAGCTCACAGTCTTTTAGCCTCCGGCTCGCACATTTTTGTCTCTGCTCAGGAAGGACGGCTCCAGAGCCAACTAACGGATGCAGCAGCCAAATCGCTCGCTCGCCACTTGAATGCCAGGAGCTCACAAAGTAGCATTTTTGCTCACCAGACTCCACAGTTTAGAGGGAGCCTTGGTTAAAGGGAAGATTGAATAGGGAGTTAAATCCCTCGCCTCGCCCTCCCCCAAACACGCATTTCAGACGTTATTCAAACGCTTAAAACGAGACATCCTTCATTTCCTCGGGATGACAAGAAGAAGAAGAAGAGAAGAGATTGGATTTGTACCCTTCCCTTCACTACCCTACCCAAAGGTGTCTCAGAGCGGCTTACAAACTCCTTTCCCTTCCCCTCCCCACAACAGACACAAGAGGTGATGTTAAACGTGGCTTTCTGGGGGAGGGGGGAGAGGGTCAGATTCTCGAACTGTAACAGAAAAGAAACGCTCCTCTCGATCTTCAAGCAGGCGCAATTTGGAACGGGGGGAGATTGGCATCTATCAGGGCTTTGAGCTGGGAAGGGCGTGGGCTGGGGTTCTTCGTGGGACCCTTGATCGAGAAGGGCCGGAGTGAGGTAGTTCGACCCCCGTGGACGGAATTCCCCCCCCCCTTCCAAAACAGCCCTTCCGGTTCTTCTGGCCGGAACACAACCCCGGGGCCGCCCTGCCGGGGAGAAAGCACTAATACAAACTCTCGCCCCTTTCAGGTCTGGGGGAAATACTATCATTTTATCCTGCTCCCCGCTTTGTACCTGCTTCTTTCCCCAGTCTCCCTCAGCCTCCTTTATCCCCCCCCCCCGTTAAAAAAATATTTGAGAAGTTGCTTTACAGACAGAAACACAAAAGCTGGTTTCTATAAACCTGGAAACGGAGCCCACACACGCCTTGAGTCCCGCCTGTCAATGGGACGCCAGCGCCCTTGGAATCAATCCCTCACGTTCCCAGGCGAAACTCTGTCGCTTGGCTGTGCCAGCACGTGTGAACGAGCCATCGCTGATCAACCTCCCCCCCCCCCAAACCTGGGTGTCACATTCACCCATGCAAGTTGGAAATCCACTGGGGCTGGAACTAATAGAAAGGCGGACTATAAAGTGAGCCGTGTTCGGTGTAGCCAGTCTGGTGTAGTGGTTAAATGCGCGGACTCTAATCTGGGAAAACCAGGTTTGATTCCCCGCTCCTCCACTTGCACCTACTGGATGACCTTGGACAAGCCATAGTTCTGATAAGAGCTGTTCTTGAAAAAAGAGCCGTTTCTGTCAGAGCTCTCTCAGCCCCATCTACCTCCCAGGGTGTCTGTTGTGGGGAGGGGAAAGGAGTTTGTAAACTGAGACTCCTGTGAGTAGTACCCCATAAATCCAATCTCTTCTCTTCTTCTTCTT